ACAGAGGTGCAGCAGCATTGCAGTGGTTATGGCACCATCTTGGAGATGGCAGGGCAGGACTGGATCAAGGTACATAACTCTCTTCCCTTAGAAAAAGATGTCCTGACCCCAAGGTTGAAAAGCTGTTCACACTCGTGCTCACGAGGCCTTAGGATTGATTATTTCCTGCAGAAAACTGAAGAGGAAGCAGCAAAAATATTCCAATTATAGCTCATTTATGGCAAGTGGAAGTAGCACAACCCTAAGCAGCTGTGAACAGTATAGAAGCTGCAGTGATTATTGTATAGGAAGCAGCAGTGGAAAGGAGGCTTTAAACAGTGGACTTGACTCCACAGAGGAACTTTAAGGGCTGTAACCCTATACCACATTTTTCCCCATCGACAGAATGTACAGGTAACGCGTTCCCAGTTATTCGGGAAGACTGCTGGGAGAGATTTATGTAAAGTCCTCTGAGATTTTTGCTGTAAACTATGCCATGTACCCGTAAAATACAGCTACGTTGTAGTGAGTGGGAAGATGTTTACAGCTAATTCTGCAGTGTGTTTGTCTTTGCAGCCTTTAAAAATGCACTGCAAGAGTTGTGCTTTGGTAACCAGCTCTGGACACCTCCTGGGAAGTAAACAAGGTGACAGAATCGACGAGACGGAGTGCGTAATACGAATGAATGATGCACCCACTCGGGGTTATGGAAAAGATGTTGGCAACAAAACGAGCCTTCGAGTCATTGCACACTCCAGCATTCAGAGGATTTTGCGAAATCGTAATGAACTCTTAAATATGAGCCACGGTGCTGTGTTCATCTTCTGGGGTCCTAGCAGCTACATGAGGAGAGATGGTAAAGGCCTGGTGTATAATAACCTGCAGCTGATGAATCAGATACTGCCTCAATTAAAAGTATATATGATTTCTCGCCACAAGATGCTGCAATTTGATGACCTTTTTAAACGGGAAACCGGGAAAGACAGGTGAGAACTTATGTGGATACATTTGGGGGCTGTCATATAGTAGTAAAATAATGTAGTTTATATATACCAATTCCAGATCTGCTCAGGGGGACCATCACACCCATTAAATCCTCTGCCTCATGAGCTGTAATACGGTGTGACGTGCCAAATAACATCACTTGTAACATAAGTAAAAAATACGCATCAAAATAATTTGTATGGAGTATTGCCTCATCAAGCTAGAACAGCAGAGTCTGGATGTGCTGTTTATAGAGCCAGGGAGGCAGAGGCTGTTTAAATCTCACTTTGGGGTAATATACCTGAAAGTTTTTTACTGGTTCTGAAAAATCAGAATGGATAGGTTATGTTTCCTTATAGAGGAAACGCCACCATTCAGTGGTTATAATAGCTGTTTATTGAATTTAAGCATTCTTGGAACATTGCAGCTGTAAAGCTTCTTGTAAAACAAATAAACATTAGTCATACATTAGGTGCTTTAGAACAGTTCATCTTACATTTCCAACTGGGAAAAGGAAAATTATTATGATAGTTACATCTTTATGAGACTGTTTATGGCTTGTAGGCTGATCTTCAAATTTTTAATAAGTGACCCACTGCACTTGAGCATTTTCACATATAATGTTTGAAAACGGGCATTTAAACCAAAGACTTCCTAGCAAGAAATAAATTTCTTTTTAATGAACTCCCCATTTTTTACGTATTAAATATGCTGCTGTAAAAATGGAATAGGGTCCCCACTTAGGTACAAAAGAAGAGGTAGGTTTATTGTGCAGTAACTCACGATGACATTTTCTAACTTCACAAACGCTCTACATACACAGCAAAGCTTGGAGCTGGGCTCGATCCTCTTGTGGACAGGGAGGACTTAGAGCGTGGATTTTGTTTTCTGGGCTGCACAGCAAAGGCAGAACCAGCGCTGAAGGAAACTGATGTATCCTCTGAGCTGACAGCAACTCCATCTTTGCTTGGCATTTGCTGCCTGTTATGTCAAACCCCACACGGTTTCCTTTCAGAGCTCTGTTCAGTTATAGCGGATCAAACTACGTATCCAAGTTCTTGACTGACTCACTCTGATGCCAGAGCACAGGGTAAGGTGGTCAGTTTGTTACCATTAAAGGTCCTTTTCTCTTCATCCTCAAGTCAGTGGTCTCTGCCAGAACAAGAAGGAAGGATAGCAAGGGGAGCTGCCCTGCCTGTTCTGATGTGTTTTACAGGATTTCCAGGTTTGCTCAGCCAAAGCAGAGTGAGAAAGTTACAATCTATGGAATTAAGCGTTCCGACCCTTCAGGAAAAATGCAAAGGATTAACTGTAGGCTCAGTACTTACAGAGGCATCAGAGTTAATAAAGCTGCAGTTGCACTGTAACATGGGCCACCATCAGCCCTAAAGGGTCAGACCTTTCATGCCCTGCACGCTGCCACCTCCGTTCCTGGATCACTCTTCCAGTGTAAAACCACATGCAGTCCCCAGCTTTGAGGAACACTTCAGCTCCTCTGCGTCAGCCTGGCCAGTTCTGCTGTGTGGAGCCAAGGGCCCATTCCTTTCCTGACATTTGCTGTGCAATTTCAGCCAAGCTGCTCCTCCTGGTTCTGCACCACCCGGCCGGAGCAGGAGGCTGTATAGCTGTGCACAGGGTGAAAGCATCTCTTCTTGTGCGCAGGCAGCGGGCTCAGTCTTGGCTCCTGAAATAGTCTTAAGGCAGTGAGACATTAATGACATTATAGCAGGTTTATATTGGCCTCAGTCAGGAGTGCCCTGAACTCCCAGTGTGAATCAAGGGCACTTGGATGCTGGCAAAATTGAGCCTCTTGAACAGGTCCCGTTGCTTTTAAGAAAGTGCAGGCTCTGCTGTGTATGACCGGCTCCTTTAGAGGGCACATACAGCAGACTTGAAGGACTAAGAAGATTAAAACGGGAGATGAAAATAAATGAATAGGCAGCACAGAAAAAGAGAGGGAAGATGAAAAGAAACACGGGCAGGGAGGAATTTGTAAGGGAAGGAAATGTCTGTAGCTGTGGGGGCAGGAGCAGAACACTGTACAGCCCCGAGTGCTGCTGTTCCTGGGAGGTTTCTGCTGAGCTCTTGACATCAGTGCCTGCAAAAAACAAAGGAGGGAGAGAGCAGCCTGATTGCAAGGTTGCAATAATCAAACCATTCATTTCTGCCTTGAAAAATGATGAGGAAAAAGGTAATTGGTTGTATTGTGATTTTTGAAACGAAGGGAAACCTTCAGCAAACAGTGCCAGTTAAATAGCATGGTGAATGGCAAAGGCTGCAGAGCAATACACTTGGTATTATAAAGTAACTGTACTTGAAAATAACTTTATAATTGAATAAGGGTACATTAAGAAAATATGATTCAGAACCAATATTATAGTAATTAGATAAAGGAAGCACAAATGAAATAACTGCAGGAAGAGTATTTCCACAGAGATTATAAATGAGATTTTGGTGGAGCAGAAAGGCCTTTAATTGTAATTTAGTGTGCACTACAGAATTATCAGCACAGTGTGTTAGTTCATCGTATAAAAGAATATCTGATAATTTCCCCTAATAAGCACATGACAGTTCTTCATATTCTTTCATTACAGCTGATTAGGTAAAAAACAGTATTCTTTTGTCGGACTCTTGTTCAGATCCTTTACGAAAAGGCAAGACACTGTAACCCTGTTTCTGTATTGCTGGCCTACAGACATGGTATTTAAAGAGGCCAAAGTGGTACTTGAGTAAGCGTTTAAATCTTTATTTTGTTGTTTAGCTTTCATGCTAATTTATTTAAATTTCGTTATTCTCCTGTTTATTGCAAGCACTAAATTACAGTGTGAGTGTATGTAAGCAAGAAGGACACTAAGCCAGCGGACAGACCTGTGCAGAGCCCGGCCTCTGCGGCCATGGTCTCGCTGTAACTGCTCCCTCGGGTTTGGGATGTACAGCACCAAAAAGAGAGGCCTTGTGCAAGCTCCAGAGCACTCTTAGCCTGAACATGATCCTGAATTACCTAGCGATTCCTCAGCTCAGAAACTCTCAAGTGGCAGGAAAGCAGACTTTTTTAGGCTTTTCCCTAGCTCTCCCTTTCCTAACAGTTTTGAGCCCCAGAATGGTTATTTGCTGGTTTGTGTCGGTGCAGTGCCTCTGCTGAGCTTGTGACCCAGCTATGACATTGTGACAAATTGCACACCACACCCCCCACCAAGCTTTAGTGCAAATTCAGAAAATAAATAAGGCCCCGTAATTGGAACTAATGAGATGCTTAAATCATGTTATTCTCCAAGTGCTAGCTTAGCCTGAAAGTCTCTGTGTCAGGAGCAGTAAAACCGTACATTTCAGGACCTCCTACCTTACCAGGTGACCCACACAGGACAGGACAAATTCCCGAGGCTCCCCAGCGTCCTTCTGGAATTTTGGGTTAAAGAATCCTCGTCTGTTTAGAAGTATCTTTGAAGCAGCAGCACTGATACCACCACTTTTTTTAACCTTTGCAATAGTCTGATTGACTGGAAATGGGAAACCCTGGTACAAGGCACTCCTCTACCTGACAGTGTTCACAGCATCTCCCTCCCACTGCCCTGTAGGTGACCCACGTGGAACCAGTGTGGTCAGCAGTGGCTTGGGGAGCTGCGTGGTGGGCCCAGGCCTGTGTGGGGTTACATGTCCCTGACTGCTGGCACCGCTGGCAGTGGCTGGTGGGGCTTTAGGTCCCTGCTACCAGTACATTCTTCAACTGCAGAAGATGGCCTTGGACCCAGGGTCAGGACCTGGGATTCCCAGGGGCTGCTCTGAGAAGAGCCTCATGTTCTGCCATGCTTTTTCTTGAGGGGGTCACAACATTTCACAGGTGTCAGGCAGATGCAGGTGTGGTGGAATGGGGTTAATGCAGGTTCCAGATGAGTACAATCTGGCACAGCACACAAGCCATCCAGGCCCCTGCACTTGCTCTCACGGAGCCTCAGCTTTAGGCAGAGATGAAAGGAGAGCCAGTCGCTGTGACAGGCTGCATCAGGAATCTGAGGCCTTTTTGGGACACAGATGACACAAGCTTGAACTGCCTCCTGCAGGACTTCTCTGGCTGAGTGAGGAGCCATTAGGGAGACCTGCTGTCTTCTTCAACAGTATTTGAAAGGAGACCTTTGAGTGAATTTGGTTTTTTTCTGGAACAAATACCCAACTTTTTGTGCCTCCGTTTCCAAGAGATGTTCCTGACTTGGACCTGTAGGGCTGCCCCTAACTATGCCTTACACCACCTTTAAGATGTGCTCCTCGCTGGCATTTCTGTGGCCCTCCCGTTCCAAGACTGCCAGCTGTCCCTTGGCCAGGGGCAGTGCAGGAACTAACACAGGACTGGGACTTTCAGTCCAGCTCCTTTAGAGGGCACGCACAGCAGACTTGAAGGACTAAGATTAAAACAGGAGATGAAAATAAAGGAATAGGCAGCACAGAAAAAGAGAGGGAAGATGAAAAGAAACACGGGTAGGAAGGAACAGGCAACCAGTGTAGTAACCAGCTCTTATACACCGAACAGCAGTGACAAGCACACACTAGAAAGAGGAAATGTTACTGCTGCCATTTTGCAGGTAGGAACCTGTGACACAGCAAAATTTAAGCACAGCTTGCAGATCTTACATCTGCGAGCAGTTACTTGGAGATGCCTCATATTTTGCATGAATAATGCTGGGATCAGTTGTGCTTCTTTTAAAAGATTTCTCCCAGCCTGCAGAGAAGGCCAGGAAAGGAGCTGTCTCAGAGGGCTCCCTTGCAGCCCTGTCATTCATATCCAAAGGTGTCCCCAGGCAGGGTGGGATGGGGGCAGGCAGAGGGGCAGCACCTGGGGTGAAGGTTTCCCAGGCTGGCCCAGGGACAGGCGTAGCTGCAGGTAAGAGCTCCCTGCCAGCAGCCACAGTGCTGGGAGCTTCCAGAAACCAAACCACGGACGGGGTGGGAGGAGAGGGGGTCACAGCAAGCCCTTGAGGCCAGCCCAGCTCCAGCAGCAGCTCCTCTGTATGCTGGAGGAGGCAGCATTTTAAGCAGTCCTCTTCATCCCCCATGATGCGTCTGCCCGAGCACTCTGTGTAAGCTCCATTAGATGATTATAGATGTGTAGAGATTACTAGCAGAAGAATATAAATATAGGACGTGAAGTTTCAGTCACTTAAGGTAAACTTACCAAAAGGTCAGTTAAATATTAACATTGCTGTGCCCAAAATTAATTACAGCAAAGGCAGTTTCTGCATAGATTAGTCCACTGACAGAAGACACTAGCAAAATCATTAAAAGATGAATGAGCAACAGTAGTCTTGGTTGCCCAATTTTCATAACCTTTCACAAGAATGAAAAAAATAACGCCCAGAAATTGCTTCAGATACCTCAAGAATTATTTGTCAGCCTAGAAACGTAATTATGTTTTTGCTTTCAGGAAGATATCCAACACTTGGCTTAGCACGGGCTGGTTCACAATGACTATCGCGTTAGAGCTCTGTGACAGGATAAATGTGTATGGCATGGTGCCACCGGATTTCTGCAGGTAGGATTTCTTTTGGAACCATTATTAGCCAAAAAAGTTGAGCGTTACAGATAAATATCTGAATCTTTTCAGTATTTTTTTCTCTGCAACTTGTCTCCAGTCCTCTTAAAGCAATTAATTAACATGTCCCAAGATCTGATTCTGAAAACAACAAACAGCATTTAATTATGTTATATAAAATATTTAAAAAAAAATTGGTAGTGTGGGAGAATTAATCCGTCTTGTTGGTTTCTTTTAGTCTCTGAATATTTATCAGCTAAAAGTAATGCAATAATTGGCATGAAATTAATCTGAAAAAGGGAGTGCTGGAAAACATTAATTTGTTTTTAAAGTTTCCCCCTGTTAATAGAGGGAATGGAGTTCTCAGTCACTGGTTTCTGAATTGAACTTTCTGCACAACTCAGATGAAGGTGGTTGTATCTCTGTCACATGAATCCAGATCTTCCAATAAACTGACTTCCTAAATAGTCCCCACCAAAAAAACCCCCGAATTTGGACCTGCAGAATAGATGATCAGTGGCACAATCATCCATTCTGGTCATGGAGGCTGTGGGCCACAGATGGTAGAAGGAGCACACAGATTCTGTCAGGGGAAGCTCTGTGACCCCTTCACGCTGTTCATGAAGTAACCACACATGTATGGGCACATTTTATGGCCACGCTGCACCTCCAGCCGTGTTCAGGACTCAGGCCCAAGGTGCTGGGTATTCCCTGCTGCGGACCAGTGCTAGAGGGAGACAGTCTGCAGGACTTGGGGTACTGGGCCAAAATCACGTTAGTCATGTAATGCAAGGCACTGATCCAGTCTAAATTCACACAAATCTGTTTTACATCCACGACCTAAGTATCACCTATCCATCCAGGCCCAGCACTCTGGCCTTTCAGAAAGCTGTACCCATGTGCACACACCTGGCCTGATCCCCTCTGCACCGGTGGGGACCCAGCAATGCACAGAACTGGCAGTGGGGCCTGGAGCGATGGCACCAGTGTCATGGTTTGTCACCTGCTCACGAATCCCTTTCACTAAGAAGTACCTGCTGGAGTTTTCTCTTGCAAATTCAGCGATCTCACTGAAGTCTGGGTCATTGACTCATTCAAGATGCCTTTCAGGGGCAAGGGGAGCAAGGCTGCAGTGACAGGTTAGCTCCTCTGTCAAAGAACAGGACTGCTCTGATTGTCTTCTGAGCACTGAGAAAGCTCATTCAGAAATCTGCATTTGTCCTGGGCACGTATACTAGAAATCCCTGAAGAAATTACAATATGAAATGTCAACACTGAATTCCACTTTGTAAGAATTTCTACAAATTATAACAAAACACTGATGATAAATGCTGTGATGTACTGCCAGATTTCATCACGAATTCTCCAAGGAAAATAACAAACTGGATCAGATATTGCAGACAGCATAAATACCTTCCGCAACACAGCACTGCAGTTCCCCTGTCGTTTCAGTTGGCCAAGACACACTCGTTCTGCTCCTGCAAGTGGCTGCTCTGTCTTACTCCAGAAGTGGCTGCATTCCAGTGGCACATGGAAGTCATTCTGGAATAAGCTGGTGATCTGAAAATGCAGAAGGCAGCAATTCACTGTAAAGCAATGCTCAGTCCTAACTTCTGAGGTGAAGTCAGATGAGTTTAGATACAGTTAATTCTAAAAAAAATATACCAAACTAAAATTGTCACTGAGACCGTATGAAAGGCTTTCATAGAACAGCTACACTGAAATCAAATGGATATACTGTTGAATTATAACATCAGAAAGGCTGTAATCAATCCTAACATTGACAGATGTAATAATGCTTACAGCCTGCTTAAAAAAAATTTGAACATAAAGGTAAACTTACCTGGTGGTGAAAAGGGACAGGGTCATTTCTTAATCACAAGAACTGAAGTGTCTTTACTTCAGGTACTTCTGTTCCCCAGATGATGAAGGGGAAAACTGTAGTGGCCTTGCCATGCCTGGAAGAAGCTGTCCATGAAGATCTGGGAAAGGAACCTCTTGCCATAAGTGCAGTTAACCACCTTGGTTTGCTCTTCAGCCGCTCATTAAGTTAAACACTGCTTCCTTTCAGAGAAATAAGACAACAAAATAGAATAGCAGAAATTAAATATTCTGTAATGTTAAGCCATATTTCCTGGTTAGCAGTCAGACAAAATACAAACCTACCACTGCAAAAAGAAAAACCCAAAACAGCAAGCCCACCTTACCTCTGTCGTGTGCTCGAGATGGTCTGGGTACTTGAGCTGCTGTGCAACTAAAGAATCATTACGAATAAAAAAAAATACCAACAGACTCCTATCCAGAGTTAACATCGCCAGATCTACAACTTCAGCAGATAGCCATTATTTGTTTAAGTATTAATTTGTGGAGTAAGTAATGAGTGTGGGTGATCACTGCCGTGGAACTAAATTAGTACCACATGTGTAACGTGAAGGACATCTCAAAGGTATCGTGAAGATCATACTGTTGCTTCAGATACAAATTATTAGCTTAAGATCATTAACCAAATTGCTTCCCACCCATGCAGGAAAAAGAGTCTAGTGAAGGAGTCTGGAGTACAGACTGAAAGATTTGTCACTATTAATTGCAACAACGTGCTTTAGATTCATTTCTATTTACTTTCACTGGGCATTGATTTTTATAGCTGAACTGGAATTGGTGACCTGATTATTATAAATTCCTCGTATTTTACAGCAAAGCCATATGGAATATTGAATCCCTTTACTTCGCTACAGATCTACACTGTAGCAAGGGTTAATGGCTTTGATACTGCTCTCGTGCTGTTAAATACGTCTGCCTTGCGCATTTGAGAAGAAGATGAAAGGTTTTGCTTCCATGCACGTTGCGAAGATTTTGGAGAGCGGGCACAGCTCTCACTCAAAAGTCCCCAGAAAGACAAGCCATCTTGCTGTATTTTTCCCAGTGCCCAGGGATCCAACCCCAGCCTTCGCTGCAGTAAACAGCACCCAGATGGGAAGCGTTTCCCTCTCTGAGCTCCCTGTGGCAGCCTGCCGTATGCACAGGACTCCTGACCTGGGACACCAAGGATTTTCCTCTTGCTCCTCACATCAGCAGCCAGATCGTGGTGCGCAGGCAGCACCACAGCTCCTGAAGGCACTGTAGGGTGCTCCTTCTCTTCGTGCTGCTCAGGGAAGCCCTAATGCGGTTTGTGGTCCAGTCCCTGTCCGCTGGTGCATCGGCAGCAGTGAGAGGTTGGTTCCTTGCAGGTATCTCTGGGTACTCCTGCACGCAAGGCAGACTCAGGGTGTCAGTGAGAAGAGCCCTCTTTAACCCCTCTGCTCTTCATGGGCCTTCTGGAACTCACAGAAACTTAAAGCTTAATTCTGAGCCTTATTCTAACTAATTATGAATAATTTTTGCTCCAATTATGGAGTCAGATCATTTTCCTGTAAGAATCCTCATTTGACTGCCAGGCCATTTCCCATCTGTGGTAATTTGCCTGAAAATTGGCATTTGAAATCCTTTAATTTATTCCTTTGGGTACAGTTTTTAAATCCAGTGTTTTCTTACTTCCTTCTCTCCACTTTCAATTGCTTTAAATCAAATGCAGAGCAGCAGTTGTTGCCAGTTCCATTTCTGGGACTTACAAGGGGCTTGATGGAAGAAGGGGCGCTCACAGGACTGTAAACTGTATGGGAGACAGACAGCCATGCCCGTTGGCCTGTGTGCCTGGATTTCACCTCATTACCTTAATAACAAAATGCTTAAATGATTTGGAAAGTGGGCCTGTATGGAGGCAAGGGAATGGGACCCTGGGAATGAAAGGCAAAAAACGATCCAGAAATCTTCCACGTCCTGGCACAGCACCTTGCCCATCGCTCAGGATGTTAATGGCACTGTATTCACCCTTCAAATAGGAATTATTTTACAAAGCGTGCGAGTACATACAGGTTTAGTGGGTTGATTTATAACAGCTCTTCATTGGTAAAGAAGAGGTCGACCAGAATGTCAGATGGGATGGCCTTGTTTTTCTGCCTTGTTTCTTTTGAGGCAAACGCCGTTTGCTGTATTTTCAGCTTTCGCTGTGGGTGGGTGCCATCTGTGGGAAAATGTGCACTGAAGTGGCAAACAGTGGATGAGTGACATTGGGTACAGGCACTTACACGGTTGCTGTGCTGGCAGCCTGCGAGGCAGGAAGCACAGTGTGTTTTACAGAGGAACTTTCCTAGATTCCTCCCAGCTGTGATATTAATATGCCTGCAAAGTCTGACAAAATACTGATTAATGTCCAGTATCAGTCAGTGATAAAACAGCATCTGTTTTAATGTTAATAAATGAGGTGGCAAGCAATTTCCGTACAGAAATTACTCATGCATTTCATTTGCTGGTGACACAAGCTAATTGCAGAGTTAGAAGATAACAGTGCAGTTAATTTGGGTTATGGTATAGTTACTCAAGCCAGAGCTCAAACCCAAACTTTACTAGCATGCAATGTAGGGGAATCCAGAACTCCCACAAAAGGGGGAAGACTTCACACAGGATGCCCTAGGTACCTCACTGCCTTTCAGAGTTCCTAAATCCCAAATGCAACATTTGGAATTTAGCCTCAAAGCCTCACTCAGCTGCAGAGCAGTGCTGGTCTAAAGCCACCAGCGTTTTCATTCCTGCATTGCATTCACCCAGCTCAGCCAGCAGACCTGCACAGCAGCCTTGGCAGCACCCAGAAGGGGGTGCCTGAACCCAAGAGGGTGCTCAGACCGCACTCCTCTGCCAGGCCCTGTGCAGCGGGCGTTTCTGCACTGTTTCTGATGGGACATTGCACAAAATACAGTGACCCGGTCCAGCCTGGAGCTAAGGGCACCACGTCCTCTGGTGCGAGCTTCAGAGCCTTTGATGTAATGTAGAATCCCTGGCTTCAAAAGGGAAATCCATTGCTGAAGTATCCACTGGTAGAATACTGATCACGTAAGAGAGGAAGCACTACTGGGAGGTACAGGCTTCAAAATGCACCTTCAAAGAGGTAACAGGGGAGTGTAACCCTCGGTAAATACTAAATTAGCAGTGAGGGAGAAGAAAGAGGACGAGAGCCAAGCCTGCGCTCCTTCCTCTCTCCATCTGATCCACCTGTCCCCTGTACCTGCGTACTTTGGGGTTTGTGCAAAGAAAAAAGGAGCAGCATTTCTGTAGATCCCTGGTGAGAAACCTGACTGCAGTTGCCGCTGTCATCCACGGCTGATTTCAGTGCACAGCAAAGGAACAGGGAAGACACACACAGCGATTGATTTCCTGCTTTTTGCTCTTCCAGTTCATGTTCTGCAAACCCAGCTCAGCCTTCATAAAAAAAGGGGTGGGGTGGGGGCAGCAGAGGGAGGATCCCACCCAAATCTGCCCGGAGGATCCCACCCAAATCTGCCCAGAGGATCCCACCCAAATCTGCCCGGAGGATCCCACCCAAATCTGCCCAGAGGATCCCACCCAAATCTGCCCATAGGATCCCACCCAAATCTGCCCATAGGATCTCACCCAAATCTGCCCGGAGGATCTCACCCAAATCTGCCCAGAGGATCCCACCCAAATCTGCCCGGAGGCGCGGGGCACAGCAGCTTGCAGGCAGGACTGGGCCCTCAGCAGTTCACTTACTTCCACTCAGAGACATGATTTCAACTTCACCAGAACTAACTTTACAGCAGTAAATATCCACCGAGCAAGACAGGTTTCCTCTCAAGAGCACAGGAGTAAAGTGCAGCTCCAGTGCAGAAAGGAAGAGCAGTCTAAGAGCAGAGGTCTATTTGTTTAGTGGTTCTTAAGAAAAAATAAATCACATTAAAGTGCATCCTGTAAGATTTACAGTACCTATAGAAATTATTCATTTAAGAGATTATAATAAGAGGTGCAGTGTATCAAAAACATATATGAAAAATTAACTGAAGATTGAGATCTAATAGCTGTAGCTAAAAAAAAAAAAGTATTAAATTCTTACACGAAGGGTATTTTTTTACATTACAAATATGTTTTCTGTAGGTAAGGAATTGAAGGATTTCTTTTCACTCTCTTATGTATTCTGGTGAGAATATATACAGCAAATTTAGAATCCATCTTATTCTAGAAATGTAATTTTATTACTATTCTGGTCTCGTAAGATTGATCACCGTGTTGTTACCAGGAAGCCAGATTGAATTAAAACGTTAATCTAAGGTACAAATGGAAAGCAGCAGCAGTATCGTACATTACCATTACATATACAATATGGATAATGGTAAAAGAAGAAAAATTAGAGGATTGCGTAGGTGACAGAATTACACACTAAAAATAATGACTAGGACAGAATACTGACAGATTGTGGATGCATTCAATTGAAACTGAGCTTAACTATTAGCTCTTCAAAGTGAAAATAATCAACTCCACATTAGAGCTGACAGCGCTGAATCTGCGTGAGGTTTCCTGCCCTGCGCTGGGGTCCTGTTCAGCTCAGGCTTTCATGGAGCAGCACCAAAGCATCACTAAATGGTAATACTGGGGTTAACTTTTCTGCCACTACGAAACAGTCTGCTGGTATCCACTGTGGAGATGGGTACAGCTGGGCTATTGTGTCTGGGACAGCCCTCTTTGGATTCATGACAGACGGTTGGTCAAGTTCCTGTCAGCCCAAAACGCCTGTGCCCAAAGTAAAAACCTAATGGGTAGAGTTTAACTTTGAGAATAAAACAAAAGAAGAACAGATCACTCTGGCTTATAATAATACAGATGTGTCTTTTACAGAATGTAATGTCAAAACACTGAGGTTACAACTGCTAAAATGAACTTTATCCTAAATGCCCAGTTGGTCTTTGGTCACCACACAAGCACTGCATCTCCTGCTGGTTGATGCCACTGGGCTCACGAGGTCAGAAGGATACTCTGAGTGACCCAGTTTAATTTTTAGCTTAGATACATGGAAGTTGCCATTGTAAAATCAAAAAAAGAACTCATTTGTGCATCAGATGCTTGATTACAAACCCAGCAGCAGCAGACTCTGTACTGACCCTGCATGCAGACACCCTCATTGAAGCTGTGCACTCCTGCACCGTGCTGGGAACTGATGTGACACAGATAACCACCTCCCTCTACCTGCCCCTTCCCTCTCTTCCCCCAGTTCAGTAAATACCTCTGCAAGATATACAGGAGTATACAGAGATACAAATCTCTTCTAAGCAGTTTGCTTCACATTTCAGAGCGGTAACACAGCCCTGCAGCGCTTTCCCTTGTTTCTGAGCTACTGCTGTCCTTTATTTAACTGGAGGAGGGGATTAAAGGAGAGCAATAGAAAGAGCAAAGAAAACACCTTTGCCCCCATTCTGTTGTATTAAATATGCAAGAAAAATACAGCTACCTAGAAATTTGGGTTAACTGGAAGAAAAAGTGGAACTGAGCTTATTAAAGATAGCATCTTTTCAATCAGTACAAAAGAACATCTCGGGCTTCCATCTATTTTCTTTCTCCCACAGGGATCCTAATCATCTGTCAGTACCTTATCATTATTATGAACCTCTGGGACCCGACGAGTGCACAATGTACATCTCACACGAGCGGGGACGGAAGGGCAGTCACCATCGCTTCATCACAGAGAAACGAGTGTTCGAGAACTGGGCACGGACATTCAACATTCACTTTTTCCAACCGGACTGGAAACCGGAGCCCCTCACTGTAAACCACCCCCAGGTCAAAGCGGTGGCCTGAGGGGGGATGCACAGGACTGCAGTCACAGTCACCGCTGTGGCAGCGGTGCTGGACCTTTGGGGACAGGAGGAGGGTGACAGGATCTGCTGCTGAGAACTGCACCACCAGCCAGGAAGTTGTGCTGAAGAGCAGAGCATATCCAGGACTTTCTGTCGGACTGTGAACTAATCCAGTACGTCGCCTTTTTTCGGCCATCTGACTTCCTGTTTGTGTATGTGATTTGTGAAAAACAACCCGAGTATCATTACAGGATGGTTAATTCATTATGGCTTTTTGAAGTACAATGCCACTGGATTTTCATAGTGAAAACTTACGGTATTTATTTAATGGAGGTTTTTATGCAACCTAGGCCAGTATTTTTCTAATCCACAGTTACGTGGCTGTTTATCTTTCATAATCTTTCAAATCCACAATTAATATTGATGATGGTTTGAAAGGCCTAGCTTTTTATTTATAAAATTTGTTTGAAAAATATGATTCTGTATAGCATGTAATTAATATTTGATCTGGAAATGTTGCATTTCTTTTAAAAATACTTGGGCTCTGTTCCAGCTTAAAGCCTTTAACAGCAAGAATGGTCCCATGTGCAGATTGAGCTAACTTTACATTCTGACATCTCATGTTAATATGAAAACGGTAGTGAAAATTCTGTTTGATCTTAATGTGCATTTGCTGCTGTGCTATCAAGCTGCTGCTTTTTAATTACGGGTGCGAGGAAGTTTATCCAAAAAAGAAACCACTGTCCATAGCAGCAGGCTTTCAGTGAAGAAGAGACCAGCTGAGGCTGGAGGGGTTGTGCTCTGGTTTACCTCTTGTGGTCGTGCAAGAGGCTGAAGGAGCAACCCCCTGAGGCAACAAGCCACAAACCAGGCAACAACGGCTTGGAACAACGTGACCAAATTTCTGCAGTCAAAAGTTACGCTACCGGGTACTACACCAGCCATACCAGCCAAAAAGATTGCAACACTGCACCTGCAGGGATCTCTGCCTTCCCCTGTCCCAAGATCATCGCTGATCTTGGAGATCCTGGATCGCACTGAAGTTGGGATGTGAGAAGTGTTCCCCGAGTACAAAACCGTCCCCTTGAGAAGAGCAAAGTCACACATGGCAGGTTTTTCGTGAGGCACACGTGCGTGGTGAGTCCCCGCAGCCCCAGGGACGGACAGTGCTAGTGCTGTGCATGGCACCTCACCGTGTGAATTACTGCGTTACATTTGCCTTGTGAATAAAGAAGATTTCAGTTACGGTATTCTTTTTCCTTTTGCCTCACAAATATGAAATCTCTTCAAATTAATTAATTTCTTCAAATTAAGCAGTAGGAGTAATTATTGCATGAAAGATTAGACCTCAGGTGAGGAAAGGTGGCTCTCATTAGACAAATACTAAAGCTAGAACAAAGATACTACCTTAAAATGCCTTCCTCTTTCCACACTGGATAGCAGTAGCTACAGCTGCCCTGCAGACACCCCGTTTCTCAGGGGACAAAGTGAATTGCCCTATCAGGGCCAACTGGTGTAACATTGCCCAGCCCTGAGAGCAGGGCTTCAGGAGCCACCCTGCAGCCCTGCCACTGTCAGAGAGCAAGAAACTATAACCTGCTTTGCCTTGCACGTTTTGTGTCGGTGTTCGTCCTGACCCACACCACCCCACACACAAACGGGATGCAGAGCTCTGCTGCTCCCCATCACCAGTAACCCGTCTCTTGTCAGCTGGTGTTTAACTCCCCCTCTCTCACTGACTGCTTTATTTCTTCCACTTGACTTCACAACATCCTACAGAAAACCAGAATGGATTCTGAACTAATGGTAATCTGCACATCCCTTGCAGCATGTGTACTGGGGCGTGTATGCAGCACACACAGCTCAAATTGATGAACTCTGTCAAACCGATTTACAGATCCCTTCTAATGTGACTGCAAGAGATGGTACAGATCACGGTAGGTCCTCTGATGCCACCATCCTTTTGTTATCTTAGTACTGATATCATAATAAAAAGATTTGTCATTCTACAATAAACAGGTTTTCCGTTCATGGAGGGCTGCAGGATGGGTATGCTACACGTTCAGTGATGTTACTGTTAAAAACAGGTCATTTTAAAATAAATTACCCTGATCGACTTTATGTTACTGTTAAAAACAGGTCATTTTAAAATCAATTACCCTGATCCACTTCAGTATTCAGTAGAAACACAGGGACTTGCCAGGCTCTGTTGTGCTCCATACAATTCAGTAGAAACACAGGGACTTGCCAGGCTCCGTTGTGCTCCACACGCTTGTTTCCTGTCCTTTGCAGATGAAGCATTAAGAACGTGAAGACGTAACATGGGCTAAACTTACCTCACTTCAAACAGAGTGAACCTAAGGACTGTAAATACTCCTCCTTCAGTTTCTGTTAATAACTCGATGTTCTTGTTACTCAGCCTTTTAAACAAAACCAACCCAAAACTCACTGTAGTCTCATCAACTTCCTCTGGAGTTTCAGCAAGCTCCCCCATCTCACTGCAAGAAATACGAAGGACTGTACGAGTCCCTCACCCATATGTATAAAACTCACTGCATAGGGAATTTGGTTAAGCCAGGCAGACAGCAGGTTTTAAACAGGATTGATCACAGAGATTTATACGGGCTATAAATCCAGCCCAAAAAGCAGACGTTACAAGAGTGCAGAAGAAATGTAAATAATTTTTAAAGTGCTGCAATTTTAATTTACAAATTGCTGATGTATTTTTCTCCAAAAGCAAATTTCTTGAACTAAAGCATATCCTGCTCTGTTTCAGCCTGAAGTAAGGTTTTATGGCCTTGCTATAAACCAAACAGATTTATGACAGAAACCCTGTCGGATCAGAGAGAAGTCGAACCAACCAGGCACTGCTGCTGTGCTCTGCCTTCTGCTGGCACCTTACTCTCTTCACTGTAATTTGATCGATTCACCATCTTCAGCACACATCATTTCACATATTAAAAACTGTTGCAAACCAGTGTTTACAGACATCAGCAGTTTTAAGATCTATGTTACTTCAGTTCTGAACTCCTCGCGTACCTTGTGCCGTGATGCTTGACTTCAGCAGAGCAGCTATTTTTCATCTCGAAGAACCATAGCTCTTGTGCAGCTGGCATTGAGAATGATAAAGAAAATCTCTCTGCTACTACAAAGAAGAATACAACCAGTGTTGTTCTGTTAGTGCAGCGAGATGCCCAGCTCACAGTGTGATGATACGAAGCAGAGATGCGATGCACTTGGAAAAAGTACCCACCAAAGTGTTAAAGCACCTCAGAAAGTCAAAGTTAATGCTGTTTGTTTATTCCTGGGTAAGGAAACTGAGAAAAGGGGAGGTTACGAACTTACCAAGACCAAGTTAGCACTGGATTTGAGAAGAGATTCAGGTCTGCAGAGCTACCCCTGGCTCTAGCCAACAGATCACACCGTGGCAGTGATACACACAAACAGGAGCTTGCTTACCTGGGTCTTGTCCTGCAGTGTTTTTCAGGCAAACTTCACTCAGTGATTCTTTTACCCAAAATAACTCTAAGGAGGCAAGGACACAGTAATGTAAAAATAGCTGGAAAAACGTTGGGGGATGGGTGAGGGGAACCTACAGAGTAAGGAATAAAACAGGTTGAGTTATCCAGCTGCGTTTGCTGGGATACGAAGAGCGAAGCCAGGCTGGAGCTGGCAGAGTGGGAAGCTGTGGCTCAGTGGCCGTGGCTGCCCTGCAGAAGGCTCTTTTCAATAGTCTACAAATCCATCACGTGCCACAGAAAGTCTTTGAAAAATTCTACTAATCACCTCTGACTAATGAAAGTTAATTATTTTATTTGATGCAAGGAGATGTAACAGCTAGTTCAGTTAAACATAGCTTAGGGACAAAAAAAAGAAACATTTAAACAGTGAAAGAGCACTTGTAAAACAACAAAATGTTGTGCAAGAAAGTACAGAAACCTTACAGGTATCAGTGCTTCACCTTTCCTGGTGCATCAGGTAATACTGATAACTGAGTTCACAGCTGCCTCCTGCAAGCACACCTTGCATATCACAGGTGTAAGATTTTATAGAGAAGAAAGAAACAACTAAGGACAATCTCCTTACAAAAACCCTAGGAAATAGTGAAAGGACGAGAGTCTAAGATAGTGAGAAACTTCTCTTTGCTGAAGGAGAAAAGTGTAAAACTCAAAGGACGTTCTATAAAATGGCTCTGCCTGTGCTAAACGCCATTAAAACACTGAACACCAGACTGAGCCAGAGAAACTGCTCAGCAGATGACCAACACACAGCATCCCTGCTCACTGTGGTGGTCTTTGAGCAGGAGCTGTCTTCAGAAATCAAGACAGAGAGCCAGGAAGTACAGACAGGATCCCAGCACGTTCCAGACAAACAGATGGACAACTGTAAGCAGGAACACAATTAGCAGACATAAATCAGATACACTGGCCAAGATGTAATGCCAATCACATATCTCAAATCCATTAAGAGATCTTCAGAGTCCTCTGAAGCCAGTGGACAATGAGACCCAGGTGACGAGGAGTCCACCTGGAGGTCCACAAACAGTTTTGCAAGGTGTCTCTCAACAGACTTCCACAGATATGGTACCACGGGATAAAAGAGAAGATCCTCGGCTACAGAACCCATCTCAACATAGGAAATAAAGGCTAGGAGTGTAAATAAGAGCTAACCATCATCAGCTTCACGTTGCAAGCAGAATTCCACAGGAAAACGCCTCAATCTATTTTCTCTTCTGTACTCTTCGTTGGCATCTACCACCTCGACAGAGGCTACAGGGGCCAGGCTGCCTAAATAAACAGATAAATAACACCACATATTGTATCCAGTGAACACCAACTCGTACACCAACGCCCAGTTACAGGCTGCCTTGCTCACACCGTGCCAGGCAGCCACAGGGTCCAACAACAGACACTGCTGTCACAGCATCTCGCACAGATGGAGAGCGGGACTGGACCCTTTTGATCAGCCAAGGAAAGTCATCTCCACAGTTTGGCTTCTCAG